ACGGCGGCAAGGGTAGGAAGCCTGGCTTTCAGAGGTCACAACTAGCGCACACGATCCGGCGAAGGCGGGTTTCGTGTGCGCTGTCGTCTCGGGTTTCCTTGACCTTTGCGGGGTCGGTGCCAGCTCTGCTTCCGAAAGACAGCGCATCGACTTGCGCAGGTCTCTGGGAAGTTTGTGCCTCGCAAAGTGGCATGGGCTGGTGTGGCACTTGGCGATCATGGGCTTACTCACATCTGAGCCTTGAGAAGGACTCATACTGTGTGTTTTTGCCTCTCTCGTGCTTCACGCATATTCCAAGGCAAGCACTCGAGAGATTTGATGGCTCAAAGCCCACTTAGCACGGCTTGCGACCGGGCTTGCGACGACTTCCTGTGGTTCTGATATGTTCTGACGTCCATTGCTCGAGCTTTGTGCTTCAGACTCCTGGTGGTTCCCACTAAATCGGCGAACTATCTCAAGGTTCAGAGCTACGAGATGTCCAGTTGCAACGGCTCCCTCCTCACGGAGTCCTACGTGCTTGAGGAGTCGTGCACCTTGGCGAACGCGAAATGGACCTGCAACGCTACAGGCGCGACCGTGGAACAGTTTCAAGATGCCGGCCGCAAGTGCAGCACTCCTGCAGCCGGGATGGCGCCCAGCTACGATGGTTTCGGCTCGTGTCTCGGAACCTACAAGGCCGCCTCATGTGAGGACATGACGCCGATGCTGTTCTATATTCCTATTCCGACAGTACTTGCAATACCAGTGTGGGCACCCCCAACGCGGTCTTCATGGTAGGCTGCCAGCCTACGTCGAGCAGCGCAGCGAGCCCCAGCTCGCAGAAGCACGAGATCGTCGATGGCAACATGGTGGCCACCCTGTACAATGAAAGCATGGGCTGCACAGGCACCTCTGCGTCGCTGACCGTTCCTTGCGGAGGCGAGTGCATTGCGAACCATGCTGTTCCCAGGGACCTTCACAAAGTACGATAGCACTTGTCCGACGACTACAACTGGGACGGCTTCAACAAGTGGAGCCTGGAACCAGGCGGTGGGCTTGATCTCTTTTTTGGCTTCAGTGGTCCAGATGTGACAACCACAGGGAATCGTTTGAATGTGGCACCACGAAGATCCGGCCCTATTTGTTTAAGTTTTAACTTCCATGCCAAATGGCTGGACGACCCATGCATGTCCATGAGAGAGCCAGGTAGTGGTAAATCTGCGGTACCCGTCAATGCCACACGACTTCGCAGGATGTGAAATTTGCGGACTGCTATTGGTGTCATGGACCCTTTTCCAACCCCTTCTGTAGAGTCTGCAGAAACATCACGGGGCAGGCTGTCCCAAAATTGCAACTGAACCCTAAACCCCTAAACCCTGAATTGCGATGAACCCCCATCAACCCAAAACCCAAGACTAAACCCGGGAAGGTCTCGCGAGACTCAGGGTGGGAGAAGTTCTGGGACCCTTGAGGCGACCTCGGGTCGAGACTCCGTTCTTCACCGCCGTGGCCTCGGAGCCCAAGGCCTTGCAACCAGAGAGCAGAGTTGTAAGTGGCGGTTTAGGGTTTAGGGTTTAGGGTTTGTAAGTGGGGGGGGGGGGTTACATAAGTTTCACTATACAAGAAACCGTATTTAGCGCCCATGGTCGGATTAGTACCATGACGACAACGGCTTGCAGTGACAGGCTTCTTCCTCCAATGACACGAGCTAGCCATAAACATAGGTCGAAATGATTAGTAACAGTATCTTGCAGTCCTGTATGGCTGCACTACGCTCCGCTATAGTAACCTCTCCCAATACCCTGTTTGAACTTTTCAGGCCCATAGGTGGCGGCTCTGGGGACGCCGTGTTTACGTGCCTTTCCCACTTTAGGGAATCAGATTTGCAGCTGGAGCTTTTACTGGGTCGCCGGCATGCTGTAGACCTGAGCTGCCACGCCGATGTCGCAGCCTATACTGAGTTATAATATGTTATAGTACTAGGCCGTGCAAGTGGCTACGCAGAAACGCACTTGAAGCCACTTTCGCATCAAGGGCCCGTGCTTCCAGTTTCATCAGCTAGCCATGTTCGCCCGGGCAGCCCTGCTTATGGCCCTTGGCCTCAAGCCAGCGGCAGGTGACTGCCCATCGTGGGGAAAGCCCTTTCCAAGCAACCTGGCGGGATTGGACAAGATTAGCTTCGCCAATTTGTACGACGTGACCTACTACGACCAGTACAAGGTGGTCGAGTACACCGCTGCAGGGCGTCCGTACGATGCATCGTGGCATCCGGAAGCATCGCTGAGGGGCACCAGGGTCCCCCCCATGGTTCTCTACCAATGCGGCACCACAAAGCCTACCACAGGCATGCCTGGCGTACCTTCGAATGCCCGCTTCTTCGAGATTCCGCTGAAGAACGTAACCGTCGGGTGGGGTGGCCCTCTTGCCTTCATTGAATTGCTTGGGGTGTCGCAGTCGATCGACTTGGTCGACATAAGCGCCATCTCGTCCCCCTGCATGCAGCTGTTGGAGGTCTGCTATCCCGAAACCCATATCCCAGAAAACCTGCCGGATTGGTCGTCCAACCCCGACTGGATGACCAGGGCAAGCCGCACGGATGCCGTGTTCACAGACACCTTCGGCTCGGGTTGGGGCGGCGATGCCGCGAAGGACGTCCCCTTCGAGATCTCCTTTGACCCCGGCAGCCTCAGCCGTGCCGAGTGGATCAAGTTCATGGCCCTCTTCTACAATGAGGAAGCGCAGGCTGAGCAGATCTTTGAACAGGTCAAGACGGACTACAATGCGCTCAAAGCCATCGGGGACCAGCTCCGCACCGATGCCAGCACCGAGTGGCAGGGTCAGCAGCCGAAGGTGATGTTCGTGAGCCAGAGCGGAACCCGAAATGCCATCACCAATGCGGCCTACAAGACCCAGTTCATCACAGATGCTGGTGCCCAGTTGGTTCAGTTGCCGGCCGTGGCCCCGGCCGGGTGCAGCTTCACTGACAACACTGATGGGAGCAAGATGATGAGGTGTGACATCCCGGCTGGTGATGCAGCCTTCACGAGCTTCCTGGCCGAAGCGGATGTCATCATCGACGAGTCCTCCCTGTGGCCCGACTACGACCCAGCAAAATACCGAGGTTTCGCCACGATCTACAACGTCACCGCCGATCAGGTTCCGGCTCTTGCGCGAAGCCCGCCGAACATCTTCCGCCTTGATGGGCATGTAAGCGATGCATTCGAGGATGGGACCGTAGGCTCGGGTTGGTTTGACATCCAGCAGTCAGAGCCTCAGCAATTTCTTGCAGGGCTGATGGAGGCGATCTGGACTAGTGACTTCGCCAGCAGCTGCGGGCAGAAGTACCTGTGGCGTGCCTCGGACCTCAGCGCTCAGAATGTGGTCGGTCACCAAAACTGCCCTCTGTACAGTGCCGGCCAAAACGATTGTCAGTCTCTGCACGACCGCCTCCACACGCCGCCGATGTGCAGCGGGACGACGACGACGGCTCAATCGCAGGAGGCGAGTGCCGCGTGCGGAGCGGGAGGTGCGCTTGCTCTGGCTGCTTTGGTGTTCGCGCCCTTCTGGGCAGCATTTTAGTTGGAGGCTTTTTGTGTAGAGATTTTGAGGAGAAACTGGCTCTTGGCCGGTCTTCTAGCTTTCGTGAAATTTTTCTGACTTGAAGCTGAGTCTTCTAGTCCCAGAGGGGTGATGTTGTTCCGAGCTCTGGCAACAAGTCATGATAGTGCATCCACCAAATGGTGGTGCACGGTTTCGGAACGATTTTGGTTGCAAGGTGCATCACGCACTTGCAACATGTCGTGACCTGCGCAAACGCACTGTACTTAGAAGCGGCAGCAAATAAGAAAGAGTTGGAGAAGTGCGATCAGCAACCACTGGGTGAGCCCCTGTATGCCCGCCAGTCGGTCATATTGAGAAAGTAAGCTCCGCAGCAGCCGAGGGTTGTTAAGCAGAGAGAATGCTAAACAGTTCTCCTGCCATCCCGTTTGCTGACTGAAGCGGTCAGTACAACTGAAAGAGGGATCTAAGGTACGAGTCCTGATGCTTAGGGTGCTCCTTGGCTTGTGCATTTGGGAGTCTTTGCTTTGATGCTTCATGTTTCCTGTTTCTACCGGTGTCCTGGGAGAAAACCCTAAACCCTCCACCCCTAAACCCTAAACCCCTAAAACCTAAACCCCACCTGTGAAGAGGTGCGAAGGCGCTCGGAAGCCTCTCGCAAGCAGTCTGGCCAGGACTGGGAATCTCGAATGCTTCAGCATTCTAGTTAGGTGAGGTAGTCTGCGATGTGAAGGCAAGCGGTAGGACCCCCAAGTCCGGAACCCACAAGGCTGAGGCTCTGTGTTTTGTCCCTCAGCCCGAGAAAAGAGATAAGAAACATCCAACGCATCCAGAAAAAACAGGAGCTATGCTGCCATCCAAGGCCGGGATGCAAGGGTCCTCGGGAGCTTTAGGTTTCGCGGAGGGTTGGCACACCTTTTGGCACATACATATTACACACATATATATATACACACACACAGAATTGGGAGAGAGAGACGGTTTAGAGCTCGGCTTAGGGTTTAGGGTTTAGGTGGTGAATTATGTTTGAAACAACTAGGCCTCGGCGACTGATCTCCCAACAGCGTTGTCGTCCGTCTCAACTGCATCCGGAAACATTTGGAGGTTCTGGCTGGCATGGTCAGTTACTGGACCATGAGACCCCGTGACTGTGCAGCCCAGAAGCTGCGATGAACATGGACCATGGAACAGGGCTTAGTACCTTAGTGAGGAGGCATTGAAGGAGAGATGCGAAACTTGTTTAGCTTTGTAGCCGAGTCGCCATCATGGTGTAGGACGTGCACCAGTGTTCAGCACCCCCTAAACTGCCGTACGTCTTGACAGGTCTCGGAGTCAAACAGTTTGGGACATGACCATATGAAGCCTCAGAGTTGGAAGTCCAGCTCTTAGCAGCTTGAAGCCTATAAGTTCCTTGTCTGGAGCCATTTTGCAAGGGCCCGTGCTTCCAGTTTCATCAGCCAGCCATGTTCGCCCGGGCAGCCCTGCTTATGGCCCTTGGCCTCAAGCCAGCAGCGGGTGACTGCCCATCGTGGGGAAAGCCCTTTCCAAGCAACTTAGCAGGGTCGGGCAAGATCAGCTTCGCAAGCTTGTACGACGTGACCTACTACGACCAGTACAAGGTGGTCGAGTACTCTGACACGCTGTCGTTCTACGCTGCCAGCCATAGGGAAGCATCCCTGCAGGGCACGAGAATCCCGCCGATGGTTCTCTACCAATGTGGCACCACGAAGCCTACCACAAGCATGCCTGGCGTACCTTCGAACGCCCGCTTCTTCGAGATTCCGGTGAAGAATGCAACCGTCGGGTGGGGTGGCCCTCTTATCTTCCTTGAATTGCTTGGGGTGTCACAGTCGATCGACTTGATCGACATACGCACAATCTCGTCTCCCTGCATGCAGCTGTTGGAGGTCTGCTATCCCGAAACCCATATCCCAACGAGCCTTCCTGATTGGTCGGCCAACCCCGACTGGACGAACCGGGCAAGCCGCACAGACGTGGTGTTCACAGACAGCTGGGGTTCGGGTTGGGGCGGCGACGCCACGAAGGACGTCCCCTTCGAGATCTCCTTCGACCCCGGAAGCCTCAGCCGCGCCGAGTGGATCAAGTTCATGGCCCTCTTCTACAACGAGGAAGCGCAGGCTGAGCATATCTTCGAGCAGGTCAAGGCGGACTACAATGCGCTCAAAGCCATCGGGGACCAGCTCCGCACCGATGCCAGCACCGAGTACAACGGCGCGCAGCCGAAGGTGATGTTCGTGGGCCAGCGAGGAAGCAGCAATGCCGTCACCAACGCGGTCTACAAGACCCAGCTCATCACCGACGCAGGTGCCCAAGTGGTCCCATTGCCGACCGTGGCTCCCGCCGGGTGCAGCTTCACCGATAACACAGATGGTGCGAGGATGATGAGTTGTGACATCCCGGCTGGTGATGCAGCCTTCAGAGCCGTCCTTGCCGAAGCGGATGTCATCATCGACGAGTCCTCCCTGTGGCCCGACTACGACCCAGCAAAATACCGAGGTTTCGCCACGATCTACAACGTCACCGCCGATCAGGTTCCGGCTCTCGCGCGAAACCCGCCGAACATCTTCCGCCTTGATGGGCAGGTCAGTGATGCATTCGGGGACGGGAACTCTGTCGGTTCGAGTTGGTTCGACATCCAGCAGTCAGAGCCGCAGCAGACCCTTGCGGGCCTAATGGAGGCGATCTGGGATAGGGACTTCACCAGCACCTGCGGGCAGAAGTACTTGTGGCGGGTTTCGAATCCCAGCGCCCAGAATGTGGTCGGTCACCAGGACTGCCCCCTCTACAGCGCCCAGGGCCAGAACGACTGCCAGTCTCTGCACGATCGCCTGCACACGCCGCCTATGTGCAGCCCGGGGAATGTGTTCCAAACTATGACGACGACGACGGTTCAATCGCAGGAGGCGAGTGCCGCGTGCAGAGCGGGAGGTGCGCTTGCTCTGGCTGCTTTGGTGTTCGCGCCCTTCTGGGCAGCATTTTAGTTGGAGGCTTTTTGTGTAGAGATTTTGAGGAGAAACTGGCTCTTGGCCGGTCTTCTAGCTTTCGCGAAATTTTTCTGACTTGAAGCTGAGTCTTCTAGTCCCAGAGGGGTGATGTTGTTCCGAGCTCTGGCAACAAGTCATGATAGTGCATCCACCAAATGGTGGTGCACGGTTTCGGAACGATTTTGGTTGCAAGGTGCATCACGCACTTGCAACATGTCGTGACCTGCGCAAACGCACTGTACTTAGAAGCGGCAGCAAAAAGATTCTTGGATCCGACGGGCGGTTCTTACTCTAGATGTGCCATCGGCACCACTAGCCACTAGTCCGTGACAGGGGTGCGTTCTGATGTGTTTGGGACCTTGTGCAGCTCGCCAAGTGAGGTGTGAGAGGTTCTGAGGAGACGAGTAATATAGGGGCCTTAATAATTAGAATAGGGGTTTGGGAAATATGATACTATAATTATACCAGGGAACCCCCGAAATAGTATAGGTAATTATTTGGGCCCCTCGATTACCCCTAAGACGCTCATGCGCAAACCCTCATACCTTAAAGCACACACCCCTAAGAACAAACCCGAAAACCCAAACTCCCTGAAGTCCTAAACCCTAAACCCATAAAGGCTAAGCCCGGAGACCTAAAAGCCCTAAACCCTAAACCCTCAACCCCTAGACCCTAAACCCCTACTCCCCTAGACCCCTTAAACCTCCCAAAACCACCTAAACCAGCTTTTCTTCTGAGTTTGAGGCCTTTCTGGTCAGCTCCATGAAGGCCTCCTGGCATCTGTGGGCTGATTGTTTTTGGGAGTAGGGATTTTCAGGTTTAGGGTCTAGGGGTTTGAGAGTTTGGGGTTTAAGGTTTAAGGTTTGGGGTTTAGGATTTAAGGCCAGGTTGAGTCTATAAGGAACGGGGGGGATTTGGGTATTCCGTTGAGAGACCCAATTGAAACAGACCGGAAAAGTTGATACGCAGGAGCAAACCATTACGAGGGGCAAGCCATGATCTGGGCTCTTGTTAAGGGATTTTTTAAGTTACCATAATAAGGAAACCCTCCTATTTACTATAGATCCCTATGATGGTAACTTAAATTAAATCCCTTAACAAGAACCCAGTCATTGGGAGCAAGCCGCCATTGGGAGCGAGACCTGACAGTTAAAGCGGAAAGCAAGGCTGCTCGAAAGAGACCTGGGGGAGCGCAGGAAAGAGGAAGAGCAAATCGTTAAGTGGAAGCCCATAGACGTACTTGAAGCCGCTTTCGCATCAAGGGCCCGTACTTCCAGTTTCATCAGCCAGCCATGTTCGCCAGAGCGGCTCTGCTTGTGGCCCTGGGCCTCCAGCCAGCGGCAGGTGACTGCCCATCGTGGGGAAAGCCCTTTCCAAGCAACTTGGCGGGATTGGACAAGATCAGCTTCGCCAATTTGTACGACGTGACCTACTACGACCAGTACAAGGTGATCGAGTACTCTGCCACTTTGGCGCAGTACCATCCATCGTGGCATCCGGAAGCATCGCTGAGGGGTACCAGGGTGCCCCCCATGGTTCTCTACCAGTGTGGCACCACGAAGCCTACCACAAGCATGCCTGGCGTACCTTCGGACGCCCGCTTCTTCGAGATTCCGGTGAAGAACGCAACGGTTGGATGGGGTGGCCCTCTTGCCTTCATTGAATTGCTTGGGGTGTCGCAGTCGATCGACATGGTCGACATACGCACAATCTCGTCCCCCTGCATGCAGCTGTTGGAGGTCTGCTATCCCGAAACCCATATCCCAACGAGCCTTCCTGATTGGTCGGCCAACCCCGAGTGGACCAACCGGGCAGGCCGCACGGACGTGGTGTTCACGGACGCCTCCGGCACAGGTTGGGGCGGCGACGCCACGAAGGATGTCCCCTTCTTGGTCTCCCTCGACCCCGGCAGCCTCAGCCGTGCCGAGTGGATCAAGTTCATGGCCCTCTTCTACAACGAGGAAGCGCAGGCTGAGCATATCTTCGAGCAGGTCAAGGCGGACTACAACGCTCTTAAAGCCGTCGGGGACCAGCTCCGCACCGATGCCAGCACCGAGTACAACGGGGCGCAGCCGAAGGTGATATTTGTGAACAGTGGAACCACAAACACAGTCGCCAACGCGGCCTACAAGACCCAGCTCATCACGGACGCGGGTGCCCAGGTGGTTCCCTTGCCGGCTGTGGCCCCGGCTGGGTGCACCTTTTCCACCAACACTGACGGCACGAAGACGATGAGGTGTGACATCCCGGCTGGTGATGCAGCCTTCACGAGCTTCCTGGCCGAAGCGGATGTCATCATCGACGAGTCCTCCTTGTGGCCCGACTACGACCCAGCAAAATACCGAGGTTTCGCCACGATCTACAACGTCACCGCCGATCAGGTTCCGGCTCTCGCGCGAAACCCGCCGAACATCTTCCGCCTTGATGGGCAGGTCAGTGATGCATTCGGGGATGGGAACAGTCAGGGAATGAGTTGGCTCGACATCCAGCAGTCAGAGCCGCAGCAAGCCCTTGCGGGCCTAATGGAGGCGATCTGGGATAGGGACTTCACCAGCACCTGCGGGCAGAAGTACTTGTGGCGGGTTTCGAATCCCAGCGCCCAGAATGTGGTCGGTCACCAGGGCTGCCCCCTCTACAGCGCCCAGGGCCAGAACGACTGCCAGTCTCTGCACGGCCGCCTTCACGTCCCTCCTATGTGCAGCGCTGGGAATGTGTTCGAGCCTCTGGAGACGACCACAGTAGCATCGCAGGAGGCAAGTGTTGCTTGCAGAGTGGGAGCTGCGCTCTCTCTCGCTGCGGTTCTCGTGCCCTTCTGGGCCTAATCTGTTCTTGGCCGCAATCGAGGCCTTGCCTCGGTGGCGATGTGCAGTTTTTTAGTTGACAATTCTCTTTTCTCGGCCTCCTAAACGGCCCACATGGGGTCATGCTGTTGTTTGAAGCTCTGGCAGCAACACGTCATACCCCTATCCGCGGCAGTGCTTTCGCCGAATGGTGGTGCACCAGCGCGATTCTGGCATTTCGCAGGCAGGTCGCAACAGACTGCACCGACAGCTGCTTGAGGGCACTCATCAGGAAACGTTTTGGGACTTCGAGATATCTGATCGAACACGACCTCAGTTCGGCCGAAGTAAACCTTAAACCCTAAAGCCCGTAGGCCTCTCAACAGGTCGGGGATCAGATCTCGTCATCAGCTCACAAGGACTCGCTGACAGGCCTGGGGGGCTCCCTTGGCTTTCTTGGCATCTTTACAAGCTCAGGCTGCAGCTTCGTTAGGTCGTTTTGTCGCAGGGCTTCTGCAAGGGCTCTGTTGTCTCATGCCCCCTGCGCAGGCTGGACAAGTCCGACGGTCTCGGAAAGTGCGATTTTGTCGAGCTGGATGCTCACGAGGGGGGGGGGGTGGGGATGGGGGTTGGCAACTTTCTGCGCGCCCTAAACCGCACCCATAGATTTGAGAGTCTAGGGCGAGCTGTCATGAATCCAATCAAGGTTGTGTCGCAGCCGGTCCCGACATGTGACGAGACAATATTCCCAGACAAAGATATTTTGCCGAGGTCGTTGATTCGAGTTCTTCAGACCTATTGGCATCTATTCGTCCTTACACCGGGTCAATAGGTCAGACAAATATGATTTATATGAATCCTACGAAATTCCATAATTAATGAATATGATATTTATAACATATAATGAAAAAATAATATTCCGAAATTTATTTCCTTGTTGAAACTATAGAATGATACCAATAAGAAATTTATATAATGAATTAAAGAAATAAGTAGAATTCTTGAATTTATTCGTAGAGTATTGAAATTATGCCGTTACTCGTTAATATTATGAGGGATGCTAGAAAGATAGATAGAAAGCTAGGAGATAATTTAGGATCACTAAAATTTGAAGACGAATTTATTATATGAGAATTTTGACATATGGATTCATTGAATTCTGGAAATTTAGAAATTAAGATAATAAATAGGATATATTAGTGATATAATGAGAAATAATTTAGAATTATATAAGAAAAATTAAAAATAAATCGATATATGAATATATAAGCAATGAATTATAATTAAAAGAGAAGAGAGACTTGAATTGAAAAATTATTATGATGGATATGGGAATACGATAAAGAGGGTACGTAGGATAGATAGGGCAATTTTAGAATATTCGGATAAGATTTTATTTCTGAATAATTTCTAGTCTTTCGTTGTTGATTTTATATAATAAAGATATGAAGCTTGAAGAAGAGCAAGCAGAGCGTATCTCGTTCTCGAGTAAATATTAATCTCTATTTTTATTTTTATATAATAAAAATTAAGAATAGATTGGAGCGTATATCGTTCTTATATATACAATATATTCTAGAGGTATATGTACCTGAGCAATTATTAGTCTTTTATTTCCATTTGGGTATAAGCTTGATATGAATATAGAAAGTGAGAAGGCGTAGACGCGTATCTCGTCCCTGAAATAAGCTTTCGTTTTTTAATTGAATAAGATAAGGATATGAAGTTAAAAAATGAGAAGGAATATATATATATCTCGTTTTTGAATAAATATTAATTCCCCATTTTTAATTTTATATAATATAGATATGAAGATAAAAGCGAAAAGATATAGGAGCGTATCTCATCGCTATATATATAATATATATTAGAGGTTTATGTGCCTGAATAATTTCCAACTTTTTATCTATAATTATATATAAGAAGGAAATGAAGATAGAAAGCGAGAAGGTATAGGTAAGTATTTCGTCCCTGAGTAATTCCCAATCTTTCATTTATAATTTTGTAAAATAAAGATATGAAGATAGAAAGCGAGAAGGTACAGATATATGATATATCTTCCTTCTTTTGTTAGAGCATGATAGAGGCATATTTCCCATGACGCGTTTTCACGTGGGTCGCAAGATGATAGATATATCAAGCTAGAATGAAGGGACGATATTTTAGAATAGGAATTAATTGGAAAAAATATTTTTTCAACAGGCTCAATCTTTTGGAAATCTTAGGAGAATAATATCGAAGGCAAATAAATTGAGGTATCTCAATATTTTGAGATCCTAGGAGCTTCCAAACCTCAAGAGACCCCAATCTTTTTGAGGATCAAAACTCAAAAAGATTTAGGCCTCTCAATATTTTGGGAGGCAGGGAGCTCCAAAATATTGAGAGATCTCAATCTTTTTGGGATTTGAATACAGAATTATTAGGAGGTACCAAAAGACTCAAATAGCTCAATCTTGTGGAGATCTTGGAAGATCAGCTTTAAATTCAACGAGATTGAGATCTCTCAATATTTTGAATTTCTGGGGGCTTCCAAATCTCGAGAGATCCCAATCTTTTCGAAATTTCAAGATTCAAAAAAATTGAGATTTCTCCGCACTTTAGGACTCTCGGAGCTCCAAAACACTGAGAGACCTCAATCTTATTGAGGTTCGGATTCAAAAAAAATTGAGACTTTTCAATACTTTGGGAGGCTGGGACCTCCAAAATCTGGAGAGACCTCAAATTTTTGGGATTTGAATATAAAATTACTGGGAGACCCCAAAAGACTCAAATGACTCAATCTTTTGGAAATCTTGGAAGATCAATCTTAAATTCAAAGAGATTGAGACCTCTGAATATTTTGAATTTCTGGGGCTTCCAAATCTCGAGAGGTCTCAATCTAATCGAGGTTCAAAATTTAAAAAGATTGAGGCTTCTCCGCACTTTGGGACTCTCGCAACTCCAAAATACTGAGAGGCCTCAATCTTATTGAGGTTCGGATTCAAAAAAATTGAGATTTTTCAATACTTTGGGAGGCTGGGACCTCCAAAATCTGGAGAGACCTCAATTTTTTTAAGATTTGAATATAAAATTACTGGGAGACCCCAAAAGACCCAAATGACTCAATTTTTTGGAAATCTTGGAAGATCAGCCTTAAATTGAAAGAGATTGAGACCTCTCAATATTTTGAGATTCTGGGGCTTCCAAATCTCGAGAGGTCCCAATCTTTTCGAGATTCAAAACTCAAAAAAATTGAGGTCTCTCAATACTTCGAATTTCTGGGAGTTCCAAGATATTGAGAGACCTCAATCTTATTCAGATCCAGGATTCCAAAAGATTGGGACCTCTCAATGATTTGCAGCTCCGATTTTCCCAAAATACTGAGAATTCTCAATCTATCTGATTTGAGGTATAATCTTCCAAGACCTCCAAAAGAATCAATCTTTTGAATCTTTTGAGACCTCCCAGCATTCTTATTTCAAAACCACAAAAAGACTGAGGTCTCTCAGCACTTTGGGACTCTGGGAGCTCCAAAATATTGAGAAGCCTCAATTTTTTTTTGAATCCAAGAGTGCTTTACAACTCTCCCAATCCTGGAATGCTGAGAGACCTCAATCTTTCTGATTTGAGATATAGCCTCCCACGACCTCCAAAAGATTGAATCTTTTGAATCTTTTAGGGTCTCTCAATATTTTTGCTTCAAAATCATAAAAAGATTGAAATCTCTCAATATTTTGGATTTCTGGGAGCTCCAAAATATTGAGAGACCTCAATTTTCTTGAATTCAAGATTCCAAAATATTGGGGTCTCTCAGTATTTTGCAACTTCCATAGTCCCAAAATGCTGAGGGTCCTCAATTTTTCTTAGATCCAAGATTCCAAAAGATTGGGATTTATCAATATTTTGCAGCTCCGACAGTCCCAAAGCGCTGAGAGACCTCATTCTTTCTAATTTAGGATATGTTCTCTCAAAATCTCCAAAAAGATTGAATATTTTGAATTTTTGAAGACTCCCAATGATTTTTGCTTCAAAATCACAAAAAGATTGAAGTCTCTCAAGATTTTGGGGCTCTGGAAGTTCCAAAATACTGAGAGCCCTCAATATTTTTGTCCAAGATTCCAAAAGATTGGAGCCTCTCAATATTTTGCAACTTCCATAGTCCCAAA